AGACAGGTGATTGACCTTATTTGTGTTTGCAGTAGCAAACCGAGCGGAGACAGAAGATTTATAGTTTGATTCCAAGTTAAGTGCTCGCTAATCGCATATTCTTTAGTATTCTTAGATTCAACAATTGCATTATCGTAGCATCATTTCTTCCGATCCCGATTTGTGTTCCTTGTGCTAGAAGACTTGTTGCGTTTATCTGTGAGTTAAATGTCCGTCAGTTATAATCTTTCTCCATATTCATGCTGAGAAATAAGGCCGTCGGCGATTGCTGTTAAGGTTAAGACCAATTATACAGATACCAAAGCTGGACTTGTTACAGTTAACATCACGACCAACTACAACTTGTATTGCTCGATGTCAAGACTGTATATGTCCAAAATATTTCTTCATAACCAACAATCCCAACTACACATGCCTCAATGTCCCACTCGAGACGCATAAAGTTTGGTGTCAAGGCATGCGTTAAGCAGCCAAATGTACGCATGTGTTTGTAAATCGGCTTCGTCTCATGAATAATTCCAATTGGAGCCTTACTTTATTATGCGCCATTGGCCATTGAATTGAAGAAGGAGCAGTTGTCTATGATGGTTACCACACCCTTGATGGTAATCTTGTTGCCGTCGGCCACCTAAATAGAATGTATTGATCTGGATCGTACAAACTTTGTCTTGTCATTGGATATTATGTGAATTGTGCCGCTATTTACCACCAACATTCCAAGTATATTATTGCTTTGACAGTACCCACTTCAGCGAGTGATATCATCGCATTCAATCTGGTCGATGGCTTGCCGGCGGTTATTGTTGGCTTCACAACTAGAGCTCGGCATTCGCACCGCGTACCAAGATTATTGCCCTTTTGCTGAGCCCAGCATTGTCGCGCCGTGTGTCCTAGCTACTCAACGCATGCATCGTTGCGACTCTTGTCCAGTAAAAGTATCTTTGTCTTGTCTTTACTTTGACCGTCCGATCATTTTTCTCTTCCATTTGATGTGCTTTGTCGAATGCACCCTTGTAACGTTTTGCACATGTAGCTATGCACAGCTCATCACTTGATAGCATGACCTTCATGTGAGGCTTAGAAAGCTTCGATATGGACAGGAAACAATGTGCTCGTCCTCTTTTCTGTTTTCAATGTCGCTGAGATCGGCGGTGATGACCCAATCGCATACATCCTTGCAGCTGTTAAAAGCGCAGTAATAGATGGCGTTCATGTGTAGCAACATCAGGCCAAACGCAACATTCAGTGCTTTGCAGCATTTGTTTGTAGCACTCAAAAGCCGCCGCTTAAGATATACTCACGGTGCTCTGTGACCCGTAGAAAATGTCTTAAACGCATCGGCTTTTCGCAATTATGAGCAACGTGATGGTAGTCTACGACCATGAGAAGAAAAAAATCGACCAAAAACGTATTGCTTAGCCTGACACGCTAGTTGAAGTGCTAGCAGAAGTTTGAGATTACTTTACGGTTAACCACATGCTAGACCTAATTGATCAGGAACTCGCAACACATAAAGATGATTTATGTGGCGTAATTTCTGCCCGTGAATATGTCGATTGATACCTTGGTCGAGACTCCGAACGCAGAGGACATTGTGAAAGGAATCAAACATGCTGAACTATAGTCTGCGAAGCGAAATGAAGTTCGGTGGGAGGCATGCGTAGAGGAAGAATTATTAAAGTATTCGTGCCTGGCATGGGTGACATTATAAAGTGATTAGTTTGTTGAGGAGTATACTGTCGCTTGTCCAATCATTTTTCCCGTCATACATTAGAATGCGCACATAACGTCTTGGAGAGACGTCACTGACTTACCGTACATGCTGAAAATTCATGTTGAACTGAATTGAAAGACACCTGAACTAATCGCAATATACCGGTTATCTTTGATACAAAAGCTTCACGTTCCAGTGGCTCATGATAGCAGGGTCGTGGTGTGGCTTAAGTAAGCCGAGTGGAGCAAAGGACACGTTTGCTCTCCTTTGAGGTCGTTGGAACTTTGCTATATCCTGTTTCAGCAATATCTGTAGTGCATCCCATGTAGCGAGGGCGTAACTTATTCTGTCGACGCGCTATGTGAGTTTGAAACATTATTATAATGTTATCACATTACATTTGCATTAAAAAGAGTGGTATTTCGCTATAAAACTCGAGGACAAAGATAGTTTTTCTTTTGCAAAAAGGCCCGATGTAATGAATCGCGCTAGTCGGCTGTTCACTTGTCTCTAGGACCTCTCTTTTTAACGTACTATCACTTCAATATTGTACATAGATCCAAATCATGTCAATTAACGTTGGTATCTCGCCATGATCCTTTACCATATCTTCAGCTTTGCTTTAAGTCCGAAGGACAGCACCATAAACGGTTGCCAAGTACGTACATTTGCCCATCTCTAGGACCACGAATGGCTTCAGGCTGTCAAAGTATTGAAATCTTACATCCAGGTTCAAATAAATTGTTGTTGCAGTCACTACAGTCGTATGACCGAGAAAGACTAATTTTCTTCCAATGCTCTTCAAAGCATAGGTAAATCTTGCGTAATTTCTAGCAATCGACCGTAGGCGCGTCAAAAATTTGACGCGACGGAGTCTATAGAGATTTTAATATTTTGATATACCCTCCATGCTCCCTGCGAACCATAAGTAAACCTTCGCTGCCTTTCACTCTGACGAAGATTCCAAGGCTTTCAGAAGCTAACTCTTTGGTGCGAGATGTTCATGCACCCCTTTTGGAAGACTCAGTTTCTCTGGCGAGCGAATCTGGTCTTTCGGCTCGTGCTTCCGCAAGCAGCCTAGCCAAATTATTACTGTGATGATAATAGTTCCACTGCTGAATCAACACTAGACTAAATTCACTTGAAAGCGACCTGATCTTTAATTATGACCCTAGTATCATTTACACCCTCTTGGACAATGTTCAGTTCAGCGACTCGGTACACTTCAAACATTTTAGAGAGTCGTTAACTCGCCCGCTTAAGCGGATGAATCAATCCTTGGAAGCATAGTGGACCAAAACTTCATTCATCAATTCAAATGGAGTCCGTTCTGAAGCTGGTGGACATCAACGGAGATAAAGTCCATGTAAGCTTGGTGGCGGTAGGCTAATAGAACGAGCGAAGTGATACACCACGTTGAGAGCTTCGTAAAGTCAGCATAGCTCAACTCAAGCCGTTTAGGCTGTAGTTGTACTCGCAGGAAGGAAGAGAAGGCTAAATGCTATAGGTTTGTGAGTCGAAGGTGGCCTTAAAGGTAACGCGATCGTGAAAATTGATCAAAATTCTTATTTATCCCGTCCAACAAATTTTTACCATACTGACCGCCCAGTGCGATCAAGTACCAGCGAATGCGAAAGCTGAATGATTCATGAGTTGCTCGTGTGAGGCACTCTGGCAAGATTCCATTAATTGAACACGTCAAGGTAATGATTTTCATGGACATTCTGAAGTCGATCCAGTACACTTGAAGCTCTACTAAATGTAGACTATAAGTTTGAGAATGCTCAGCTTCAAACGGAGCACGACCACAAACACTATCGTGCTATCATCCTACAGCAACACTATGAAGCTACTGCCGGTCCAGTGCAGATGGACCGAAGTGTAGTCGAGAAAACATTACTTTGGTTGCGGCAGTATTATAATAAGAACTCCAATGTCGACATAGCTTCATCCTCAGAGTGTTACCATTTTACAATTGGCTGCATTTCATACCAGCACACGATGTATTCGTTTTAAAGACCATTTTGTCGAACAAAAGAAAAATCGGGACACTATTATTTGCCAACAAAGTGACCAAACTTGTAGACACATACATTAACCATCTATTGTGCGAATTAGGCCGCTATTTTGTGCACCTTTTCATGCATGTACGCTACGACAGAAAAAGATTACATGATAGAGACGTTGAGATAGAAAAGCAATTATGTCCAGGCTTCCTCTGGTCGCGACGAGAAACGCAATGCTAAGTTTTGTCGACTATTTGTAAAAACACTTTTCGAGAAAAGATGTGCAAGAAGTCAAGTACCTCGTGCGAGTGAAACCGCTGAATAATGGTCTCAGTGACCTCGTCCGTGGCAGCAGTTTGTCTCAAGGTATATTGATCTCCTTTGAGGATGATGCTTCTTGTTATTTAGTAGTCCGTTCACTTGAATGTTGTAAGTCACAAAATTTGTATGTAAAATTTTCAAGGACATGCGTGCGTCTGATTTTGTGGGTTATACATCAGGACTTCCTTATTGCTGACCTTGAGAAAAATACTTGGCTCTGCTCATAGAAAAGCACTAAGAAACAGAAAACTTTCAAAAGCAAATCTCTGATTCCTAATCAATGCCAAAGCATCATAGAAAGCTCAAAGAAGGTTGTAAAAGCAATGAGGCTTCGCGTCAGCTTTATAGTATGCAAAGTGATTCTTCGGTGATTAGCAAGGGACTGCAAATTCACCGCGTCTTTGTGCCAAGTGACGTGCGTCAAGCTTTGCTCGCCATTTTCCGATTTGTGTGCTGGAAAGAGCTTACAGCTATAAAACGTACGTGCACCATTCTAGCCGGTCGGAAAGAACTCTCTGGAACTTCTAGACCTCAGACGAATTAGTGCTTCATTTAGCTGCAAAGGAATGAAATGCTATGTTTGGTAAGATGAAGCTTTCTTATCAAAGACAAAGTCATTGCAATCAAGTGTCAGAGTGATACCTTAAGTGCATTTTTGAAACTTTAGCGTTCGTAAGACAATTGTTCGGTATCATATTAAAAAAAATCGTACCCAAATGCGTGCTTGATGTTTGATGTGTGACTACCATCTGTCCGAACAGATGAACATTTTTATATCTGTTTTGGGATATAACAGTAAGGAGCGGGTTACTTGAAATTTCTTAGATATGATAAATAGAAATCACATCTGGTACTGTAAGATTTCGATGAGATTTTCTCACTGGATATAAAATTGAGCACTTGACTTTCAAATCTTTCCTGACAGAATATCTTTCCTCATTTGCAATTATCTTGTAGAGATGTGGAATCGATTTGGTCTGTTCTGCTTACTTATTGAGGCTCCTATAGAGTGCTATGCCTCTAGTGCGGCGCATCTTACGATGATGGTGTCAAAAGAATCAACAGCATCTTCATCTTCCTCTAACACCTCAATGACTCCAGGAACAGTGTCTCCTGCAGACACAGATGATAGCTTTTCAACCACTCAAGATTCGGATAGCAATAGTGACGGCTGGCATATGAAAGCTGTAACTTCTATACAGGCGCGTGTGCAAGGTGACGCTCCCGTCTGGAATAAAGAGACTAAAAGGTGGCTATCAAAGTACGGAGATACTGCTGAGGCTGCTTATAGAAGCAATCTTGACACGGTGAACACTGCATCGGTTGAAGGAGCTTTAATGTTTGTGCAGGCAGAAGGAATTAATGTAATTGAGCAGTCAGTCAAGTGTGAGCGGAAAAACAACATGCAGTACATTGTGTTCTACGAGATCACAATCGTACAACCGACAAACGGGATTAAATTCTATGAAAAGCACACAACCCCAGAGTATGGCGAATTCGTCGCAATGGATGGCGGCAAGTGCACAGACGAAGGATCTGATTTATCCACTAGCTGCAAAGTGTATTACGGTCTAGATGGAGAGCCAAAGATTGGTCCGATGGTGGGCAGTAACCTTCAGACAACAGAGCCACGTGCTCCATACCCTGGCAATTACTGGTTTTCGTACCCTGGATCATGTGCACAGAAGTTGCGTGCCGACAAGACAGACGAGTGTCGTGCTGAGTATCCTGGTGGACTTTGTGCAATGGGAGACAAACCAGACGGCGAGAATTGCACGTTTAGCTACAAAATTCTCGGTTACCTCAATATCGACGACCTAGTCGGTATCACCGAAATGAATTACGGCAATTATACAGACTTCTGCGAAGATGGTGGTATCGAATTCAAAGCCATTAACAATGGCAGTGGCTTTGAAGTAAGCGATGCGATCGATTTCTGGAAAGATCCATGTGATGAGAATGCAAATGTTAATCGTACATCTATAATGGTCAAAATGTACAATGAGATAGCCAGCAGCAACAAAAGTGCCAATATGGAGGCACTTCCGACGGTTGAGAATCTCACGTCAATCAATCCCAAGTGTTACGAAAACAGCGAAGCATGTGCTACTGCTCAATACGGCTGCAACCGTACCCTGTACTCTCAGGTTTGTACTGTTTGTACGTCTAACGCTAATGGGTGCGAAGCTGCTCCTTCAAACTTCTCATTCCCGAAGCTGACAATACGTTCCGATGCGTCGTCGGACTCGACGTCTTCGAAAACTTCGGACGCGAGTTCCTCAAATCGTCCCATTGCGCCTTTAGTTTCGTCGTTGCTAGTTGGTCTCGTGGCTCTTGTTGCCAGCAACCTTCTGTAAATGTCGTCGTTGATTCTGTATGACTTATTGCATCCAACTTTTACGTTTTATTAGCCAACACTTGCAAACGTTAATCTCTTTATTATCGCGAGACAGAGACTATTATCTGATCGGCATCCTAAACTGGCGCTCGTCTGATTGCTGAAAAGGCCGCTAGATTATCTTACCCACTTAACAGCTTGATAGTTGCTTTTTGCTCTAAAAACAGGCTTAGCTACTCCTTAATGCGACGTAACCCAAACGCGTGCGAGTTGCAATTCGCTTAGCTTTGATGGCACTACAGTGTCTTGGAGTGAAAGTTGGACTTAGCACATCTAGTTTTAATTTCAATTATTATTTAAAAACATCTTTGATCAATCCACTATGCATTGAATACATCCGATGTAAAAGATCTTGCCGGTCACGATGCTCAACTGCTTCTGTGATGTGGAAAAGCTAGATGTTTTAGCAATGGGGATCTTGTTTAGTGCTTCAGATTACCATCGTCGCTTTCATTCTTAAAGTTGTCATACTACGTTTGGCGGCGCCAAGTACACTTCTGGGTAATGTTGCAGCAAAGCAAGCTGGCTTAATTCTCAAACTAAAGGCTCACTATTATTATAAAAATCAACTTTTACCAATTGCACAGCTTGCAAATTTGAAAGTCAAAAGCTAATAATAAAAATGTTATTGACAATTTCTGACTATTGTGACTGTTGTTGTTCGCATTCTCAATAGCAATTTTGCACGTCTCTAAATCTATCGATCAGCATTTAGCAAAAAGTCACGACCACTGCTCCCAAACTATTCGCCCTGCAATGATACTTCATTATCATCATCCACAGTGTAAATAGTCTGGTAGAGCGCGTACAGTTTACAATATTGTGCAACGTTCACAAGTACTTAAATACTGGTACTGATAAAGACGATAGGCTAACGCGGAGGTCACGTGGGCGGCTAGCCTTGCGCCATTGAGCATATTTGTTTTTAAATGCAGCCAAACATATAGTTTAGTGTTACTTGAATTGGGTTCATGCAAACCAATTACCTAGTCACTTAAAGACTCTCATTTCCGCTTCCGGATAAAGCGTACCAATTATTCCTCTGTACTTAATAAAATGCGAGTTCATCGGGTCAAAGTTGCCTTTGTGTAAGGTCTTAAGCATTACCACGAATTCGAAACCAGGCTACTAAGTCTAAACAATCTATACAACCTGAGAGGTAAGAAGACACATTTCTCGCGTATTGCCACCAGGATATTTAGGAACGCTTTTTAAAATCATATGTACTGTTGATCTCGAAGAGAAGGGATAGTTTGGGGTTTTAAGGCCGGCATCTGTAATCACTCACCTGGGCGCATCCAACAGCCCTGAGAACGCGCTGGCGAAACACATCGAGAAATACTTAGGTAGCCGTCGATGTAAGCTCAATCAGCATCAAATGCGAGGCTGTGGTTGGTGAGCGTTTAAGCTGCTCAGAATGCAGACATGCAACGTTTTTTTCTGCGTAAAAAAGTTGATATGGCCATTAGTATGGTTAAACTCCAGTTAAAGCAACAGCGCCTCGAGCTAGCGGTCTCCAATCTAAATGACGATGTGCGAGTCTGGGTAATACTTATGTCGAAGAGACCTTATGACACGAGAAGTGCCCAACACAGATATTGAAAGTGCTTAGATCGCCTAACTAAGGCATACAAAGTCTTGCAGCCTGTCAAGCAAGGCAACAGTTAGCGAGCTAATATCCAAGCCCAATCGCTGCAATGGCATCAGACCCTCTTCGCAGAATTGCTGCTTCATTGTCATTATAGGTCTCCGGGCAGGCGCAGCTCACACATGGATCTTTAGCGTCTACCCAGCCACTATGAAGAAAGCGGCGGGTGTTGCATCAAATGCGGAGTACAAGTCGAAGGCCAGCTGGAATATGGGCTGTATGGTCCTTCAAAGCAAGCTAGAGGAGTTGGTCTTCAGCCATACTATGGAGGGTATTGATATCTAACTACAGCTGCCGAGCAACATGACAGTATTGCAGATGTTACATCAGTACCAGTATGAAACATCTGTCATCAGCGTGCCCACTACTCTCTTGCGTGAGTGACATGCAGAGTCGAGCTCTCAGGCAGGGTTGTTTGAAAAGCTCATCGTGGAGAAATGTCGAGTACCCGAGGATGCAGGACTGCCTGCTATCCGGGAGCTGATACAGTTGTATAGTGCATTGGGGCAGAGAGACCTGCGCGCGAGAAGGCAACTATCTCAAATACAAGTGAGGCTCACAACACAGGTAGTCGGTTGTTATTATCGACATATCGGTCTTTTGTGATAACGTACAAAGTGCTGATAGATATTAGGAGCATCGTGATTACATTCGAAGCACGACTTTTGAAATTAGCAGACAGTACGCGGGAGCGTGGAATATGCCGAATTTAGATACGATATCCGTATATCTTGCGACGGGGGACACTAGTAAAGTGTTGATCAGTTCTCACGTTCCTGGTAGTATAGAGTGGGTAAGATGATATGATTCAGGGTCCAAAAGAATTCGGAGACATTCAATGCCACGAACTTCTCTCTTGGTGGAACTTTAATGATTCATGAATCCATGTCAGCTATAAGCAAAGCAATTTGCGTGGGCATAAAGTCGCGATAGCTTTGGTGCAGGACAAGCAATTCCCTGTAGCTTGATGTTTGGTTACGGCTGTAAGCTAGCGTCTTCTGCGCCAGAGCAGGTCGATTGGGAAAAAGTAAATGGCTAGATGAATCGCCGCGGTACTTCTAGTTTAGAACCCTCAGCTCGGGGCATCGAATCGCCACGGTGTAGCGGCGGAAAGCTTGTTTTTTTTAAATAAGTGACTGTGGTCGATTAATGACTGCAAGCCCCCCCCTACATTTATTCGGGCAGCTTTCCTTTAGCTTGAAGATGTATCCCGGAGATGTTTGTCGAGGGTTGCAAATCAGTGGGATAGCAAAAGTTTACGTTTGGTACCACAGGACAAGATATATTCGTCATGATACTTTCGTATGTTGATGTGAGTAGAAGGATGGTTTCTTGGGTATTCTTCGGGTCCTGTTTATCCTTTGTGGAAAAGATATTGCCAGAGGCCACCCCGCGTGTTGCCTTGTAAGGGAAAGTGCGTCATGAGACTGAACTAGTTTCTTGAAGTTGATGTTGTGTCACACGTCAATGGACTTTACCAGGAGATTAATTTGAAGTCATCGGTGGTTTTTTTTCGTGCGTTACACAAAGCGAGTTTTGCGATAAAGAGAATATCTTGCCAGAACGTCTAACGCCAAGTGACGAATGAACAATAAATTAGTTTAACTTGCCATTTCAGCGTACACGTCAAAGTAAAAAAAGAATGTAGTATTTTGTCGGCTGTATCTTGTCCAGTCCTTTTGACCTAGTTGGTGATTACTATCTGAAGCTTACAGAACATTGGATTATACTCAGCGCCGTGGGTACTCTATGCAGGCCACTCAAAATGTGGCTTAAATTGTTTCAGATATTGCGTTGCCCAAACGACGTTCGACCGTCCAGTGATGCGGCCCTGGAGCTGGATGGATATATCTTCGAAGTAATCTTCTATGTAATCACATCTATGTAGTCACATAGAAGATTACTTCGAAGATATATCCATCCATAGTTGTGCGGAACACGAGGAGTCGGGTGTTGTGAACTACAGGATACTCTTTTGAAGTCGCTCGGGTGTATGTTCTTTAAAGTATCCTATCAGTATAGACAACTGTGTTCTCTGTACTAATTGACTACCATATCTCAATTACGTCGTTGGGAAGCACGGCCTTCGGAAAGTTCTCATAAAAATAATTGTCACTTTAGAACGGCCAGTGTTACTACCTTGAAGAATGTATTGAAGGGACATGGACTAGCAAACTGCTTGCACAAACATAGTGTAAATATACCGATTTGAAACGCCTGTCACTAGGATCCTTCTAAAAAGTGTTAGCTGGTACCGGGTGCGGTAGAACGAAATGATTTATTCGACACTGCGAGAGACTGACCCATGAGCACCCCAAGTCTAAATCTTCCATAACGATAATTTCATTTTGTTTATTACGATTTGGCCGATTCGAATTCTTTGTGGCGCATCAAATATATTAAGGCTGTGTTTTAGCCCAAGCCAATGACAAGGGTTACGGGTTTGGGACAAATCAGATTTAAGTGGCAGAAAGGATAATATAACGTAAATAAATCATCTAGTTAATAAAGTATGATCTTGTCATGTTCAAAGTACGCCTGCGTGGATTAAAGTCATTCGTAATCGATAGAGATTACGCGTCTGTGCGCGCAGTGACGTCGTCAAATTACTATACATGTAAAAGTTAGCTTGGATGTCGTTCATTACTGATATCTAATAGGATTACGCCGCTTAAAACTATTGAAGAACAATAAGGTCCATTTTTTTGACAAGGATTGCATTTTGTTTGTAAAAAATCTGATATATAAGCCTTGTGCTTAACGCGTAGTGGCTCCAGATTCATGATTGAGGGTTTGGATCCTCCCAAAAGACCATTGAAATTTCACAGATAAATCGTGGGGTACCTAACCAGTACCTACGTACCCTCGTCCATTTTAAATGATTTACAGGCCAGAGCGTAATTTAATACGGCAGGGTTATTTGGTATAGATATGACAATGTTAGTAGGAGAAAGACGTAGGAACATAAGAATTCTTAAAGATATTTGCATCTTCGGCAGGCTTAGACATCTTCACTCTGCGTTCATTATTGTTTTTGGCTGAGTAAGAGAGATGGAGGGTCAAGCACCTAGGCAGATTAGTCCGACAAATTCTTCAGAGGACAACATCGAGTCAAAGTATTTTTCTTGTTTTGTCATCAAATCAGCAAGATTACCTTCGGGGTAAAGTTGAAGCTGGACCTGCATCGTGTTGTAGCAGATGTGCATTTGCGCCGCACAGACCATGAGGAGTCGCATATCCGGATGGCGGCAAAGCAATGCATACATCATTTAAATCAGAAGTAGTTTTTTTCGTTGATGAGAGGTCTGAAAAGCAAAGAGGTATTGACTCAAGTTCTGATGTGATACATTACTGTTCTACTTGATACTCAACGTGAGGTGATTTTTCATAATATGGGCTTCAACCACGTAATACTGCACGAGGCACGCGACATGGCCCCGTTGGAAGAGAATCGACACCTTTCTATGTGAGCGATATGTATAGTTGGTTCAACATGTATAAAAGGATAATGGGTCATGTGTGTAAGTGCATTAAGTGTCTAGGAGCCTATCATTCTTACCAAAACTGGCGAAATACGGCAGATCCTCACTACGGACTTTAATTCTGGTTTTCCAAAGAACGCGTCAGGTCACACCAGCCCTGTTGTCTATGCGAGCTATCTGAGCAAAACGGTCCATATTGCTGCTGTAAACAATCACAACGAATGAAATCATCCACAACAATTTCGCGTTATAAAAAGCGTAGAGGATTGGTTCATCCGTTCCCTTTGAAGCGGGACCGTGAGCCTCTACAGTAGCTAGGAAGTTTGCTTGTGTATCTCCAGAGTAATATATGTTGAATATTATATCTCATCTTTACTAATATCGAGTATATACGTTTTGCTTGTCTTTTTAACTAAACCTAGGTAGAAAGTTAGTGAGGGTGGTAACGCGTACCATTGGCTGCTCTTGTAAAGTCCTTTTGTCAATAGTATAAGTATATACGTACGTCTGAGCTTGCACAATTGTGAAATGTGTATACACCAGTGAACGGTGCTCATCCGGTGCAACCCCGTATGATATCCAGCTCATTCTTTTGACAAAGTGCAAACATAAACGCTTAGCGAGCACAAACTGCGGTTGAAATTCCCAGTCAAATTACGGCTTACAGTACTTGCTCGTATAATCTTTACTGAGCGGAAGATCTCTCCCTAGTAGGTCACCATAGCTCAACAAGACACCCACCAAAGAAATTTTCATCCGTTGCCGAAGACCTAGTAGCCGCTCTTGGCGAGAAACATTAGATTTTCAATAATGCGAGAGATAAGCGTGGCCTCCCTAATCCCAGCTAGAAATCTTTGCCTACAAATGGCAAGCTGTTATTCCAAAGGCAGTGAGCTTGCTGTGGTCTACCTTTCGTCAACACGTGTTTCGCTGTTCATTGTCAGCATATGGTAAAGCTTGTCAGTATAGAGTTGATGTATTATCCGCGACTCCTTCTTACATGCCTGCAGGCGCAGCGTTACAGCGTACATGCAATTGATCGGAGAAACGAGTGTTCAAAAGATACACCGCATGGTTTTTAGAAGCTGAGGTCAACCTATATCAGGAGTACAGCCTGCGCCTAGACCAGCAGCAGTTGAGTCAGTCCTTACACTCCTATTCCATTATCCCTCTGCTACGAAAAGTACCTAGGAGTATTTTTGGAACTATTGCACCAAGTCCCAGCCGTCATATCGCTTTCAAGCGATTCATTATTAGGTGGACTTCATATCAGAGAACCAGTCATTCAATTTGCAAAATACAAAGCACTACGTGGACGTTAAAGCCTACGGTTATAACCTTCTGCATCAGGTGTGCTCATTTTTATATGAGCCGGCACAGCCTAATAGCTTTGAAGACTGTCGGACTCAACTTGCTCGTGCGAAGATAGATGCACGGCGCGATTTTGCTGCTTTTTACCTAGGACGTAAAAATATAGACGGTACGCCGAATCGTTAGTGTTAGCAAGGCCGGGATCATTCTGCCTAAATGAGATCTCAAATCCCCATGGGTTATTGAAGTGAGGGTAGATTCTCTTCTACTTCACTATATAATAGTTTTGTTCCTGGTGTGTCTGCCAGCTTATAACCCACTTCACGTGGAAGTGGGCTACCACGTGCTTAACGATCAAAGCTGGTGAAGTCCAACAGGCTCTCATGACCTCATAACGCTGTGGTAAACGTCGATTCTCACCTTGTCTTATAAATTGTAGACATTGCATGTGTGGGTAGGTCAACATCGTTTCATACAGCTCGCCATACTGGATAATTTGCTGCGTTCTGACATTTGCTTATTGACATTGCAAAATCTGGTTTCAGTCATAGCCTTGCACACTCGATGCATATATCTCAATTGTATTGAGGTTAACATTGCGCTTGTGCCAAATCGTGTAGTCGAAAAATAACGAATGTGTAGAGTTGTATTGACATCCTTCTCCAACATCAAACCCGGTTGTCACAGAGCTAAATGAGAATGGTTGCTAGCCAAAACGTTTATATATTGTGGAGTAAGCCATATAAGAGCATGTACTGCGTTATTAAGCGCAAACCCAATGCGTGAAAGGAAGGCATAAAATCATTGCGATCTCTCCATGTCAGGTCTTTGGAGGATGCCATTCTTTATGCGATATAAGCATTACACCTGATATCTATTTGTGAATGGTCTCGGTGAGCTTCTCCAATTTTGGGTTTTAGCACCTTGCGAAAGTTTGCCAAAAAGTCTCTGTAAAAACAAAGATTTATCTGATTCAACGACCACCGGTAAACCGTGTTGATGATAAACTTCCTTGAGAACTACAAGAAGGCTTACCTGGCGGCTTGTGCGCTGACGAAGAATCTTACCAAAATAATGTCGATAGAAATACCCTGTAGGGCTGCAACAAAGTGGCTTCATACCAACAGCAAAAGCAACAAGAATTCGTCGGGTCCCTGAGGCTGCAAGCTACTAATCAACTTAGTAAAGTGAAAACCTAAGCAGCGGTAGAAGCACATCGATCAACTTGCCTTTAATCAGCATCAGACAATTTAAAACTATGGCCGCTATACCTCAGCTCGGCATAACACAGTCATGAAATATCGCTGTTAATGATTTTTATATTATGTAATGTGGTGCTCATTACTGCAGCTAATTGAGAGTCAAGTATATCTAGTTTAGTCTGAACTGACGAAATAGCTGAACATACACAAGGTTTCGAGATATTCCGCAATGCGATATGCACTCGCATATTTGCTCGATCTTAAAACACAAAATTGCTATAGTTTTCCACTACGACATCTTGAGGGTCATTTATAAGCTAGGCAAGCTGAACAGGCTTGCTTCCTTGCTTTCATGCCACCCCGACCACAAGACAATCTGATTGAAAAAAAATCCTGAAGCATGGTTCGCGGAATCTTTACACAATAAAAACATCGAGGTGACAATTTATATGCAGCTTATGTTAAGTGTAGAACTGTCAGGTCCAATTGGCTAGCTTCCAAGGGTACCGCTACTGCTACAGATGATCTGACGACCGATCCGAGGAGAAAAATGCGTTATCGCGACAAACGAGGTTCTAACTAGCGTAAGTGTACACTATTCCCGTCCAGGTGTAAGTAGACCTTAAGTGAAGTTTTATGTTTTCTTTATGCTAGCTACACATATAAGAACTATGAACGTGCCGCACCTTGAGCTCGGCATGTCTGGAGTCGATGAATAATAGTATTGTGCTTTTAAAGAAGAAGGCTCCTCTTCTAATCGCTGTAATCGCGAATTAATACGGCCTTCGTTCAGAAGAGCCTAGACTTCGTTTATCACACGTAGATCTCCTGATACTACATGTAAGAGCTTCAACGATTGGCCCAATTTGTTGACATCGATCGCTTATTTACCATCAATACCACTGCAATGAGATCAGTACTGATATCTTTTGTACTTACACACAATCATTTGATAGCATCAGAAATGCTGCAATCCAGTACAGCTGTGCGAAATTCCCGTTCCAATTTCTATGTGAATTTGGTATTCGATAGTATTCAAGTATGTGTTTTTCGAAATCTTATAGAGCATTATGAAGTCTGTGATACACATGGGCTGCTCTCTACTTGCCGCACGTAATACAATAAAGCACCCTTTATCGTATGAGAGAATCACACGTATATATAACGTACCAGCCTGAATCAAATTTATTGAAAATAGACGTTTTTATCAGAAAGCAGAGATAAGTTGATGTTGATCATCTCTTAGTAGAAGTGTACAAGCCCAACCCTGGTGCACTAGGTAACACTTGAAATTAACGACATGGCCGGTAAGACAGCCTTAAACCTAGCCATCATCTAAATTGAGTAACAGCGCGTCAATTTGTGGTCTCCAAATGAAGAGGCCACGCTTAAAAATGAGCAGTGCTTTGTCGAAGAGGCATAATAGGATGAGAACCTTCGAAGAAAATACGGCATAAGTGTTCTCACCATGTGATCAGGAGTATAGAGTGCTTTCGAATTCTTAACCTACCATCAAGGGAGGTGCAACAAGGGGACTATGTTCGTGGGTCAAAAATTTCAATTACCGCAGTGTGGTAGACTCTCTTCTGAAAAAAGTAACGATCACAATCTTCATGGAGTGCTCCCAAACTGGTTTGGTCGTCATCAAAACATAAAGTCCTCCTTGTTTGAGAGAGCGAACCATTGGAAGACAAATACATTTCTTGTCATACGAGGATCGGATGGGATACTCAGAGTAAAAGGCTCTCCAGTGCGCCAGAAGTGACGGATCTCAGCTATGCCGATGAGAGGCAAGAGATCCCCCCAGCTGCTGAGCATCTCCGCGGTTTTTACATATGTACCAAATTCGAAAGAATAAACATTGCGCCTTTGAATATCCCTTTTCAACTGAAAGTAATGAAGGGCCGAGATCTTGTGCATCAGCGGCAAACGAAAGAATCTTGGGGAAACATACAGTAGCAAAAGGCGCAGAATGGTGAACTGAGACATCCCGGAGGTTGCTATGCCTCTCGGAAGTCTATGTCAATAAGATCTAGTTTATACTGAAGCGATATTTTCATAGAGAGCCGAGGCTCACAGACCAGGGTCGTTGGTTATTGATGCTAAAGTTTTAGGCTTTGTGAAGCTGTGATAGTCTTGATAGATGCAAATATTGTTTGATACGTAAGACATGCGATCTAAGACAAAAGAATATAGTACACAAAGAATTTACAGATGCTGAATACAGATAATCTTATCGTGGACTTGCGATGGAGCATTTGTCAGAATGTTAAACTTAATATCAAGTCCTTAAGCGAAGAATTTGACAGCGGAAATTGTTGTCTTTAAACATAAATTCGAGACATGATCTAATCCGTAACTTGAACGCCATGAGCCTTGGGCTGTCTGGAGATTGATAAGTTCTGAGCTTGACAAGCCTTTCTAAATAGGCCATAGGCAAGTCACAATACACCTAAACCAGAAAGAAACGGCTTTTGGAGAGGTAACAGCACTGCGAAAGTTCCCGTGCAGAATGTCCAAGATTGTTAGAAATGATATTGCTAGGTGACCCCAAACTGAGATTGAAGGAAAGGGCATTTGTCTATCGCAGCCTCCGAAGTATATCTATGGTGGAACAATGAATATCCCCTGCAAACTGTTTTCAACTGTCCTAAAGGCAAGAAGGAATTGGGAGTGATTTGGTGCCGCATAATGTTCATGCTAAAGCATTTGAAGAAGAAGACTCATCCTTGTCAGGATATAATGCCACTGATGTTACAATCCATAGTGAAGCACCATGATAAAGACGTAAGAAAGATAAAATACTTGTGAATGTAGTAACCGGAGAAACCGTAGAGACTGTTAGTTTACCCTTACCACCATCAGCAGAATCTCTATCGATCTAAAATGATTATCTCACGAAAAGATAGTACGCCGAAAAGGTAGCGAAAACGGTGTGGTCAATACCGGCGGAGGATCTGAGCTCATCATTGTCCTAAATGAATTTGGCACCAATTGCGAAGCGTGGGCTGCAAGTCATCATCACGGGTGTTATACAGCGGGTGGTCTCGCTAACGGAGCAGCATGATGTCATTGACGATTTCTCTTGTGCGAAGTATAAAACAGTGCTGGTGTGAGAGAAAAACGGTCCACATTCCGCGCTACTCGTTCGTGTTAGATAGACTAACGGCAATTGATGGAATGGACACGCTTGTAAGAGGCTTTAGCATCCACCAGCAATCATCGAGGCTCCGAAAAAAGTTGCTGTAGAACAGTTTGGTCAACTGCACACTGTTCGTTGTCCTCGATCTGGTTGGTGGAAATTATTATCTGTTGAAAAGAGACATCAAAATTCTCTTCGAGCAGGTCTTTCCCGAGCCGTGTACTCCGAAAGTGGCTGTTCAAGCAACAGGGGTTGTTGTCATGGGGTCAGTCCCATTACACGTGTTGTGTGAACCTCATATTTATGTGGTGTTGTCAACATTAATCATATATACTGCAAAGTTGTATATTCCTCAATTATGCTATATCCGACTTGCAGGCATTCATAGGTTTCGAGAGGGTATAAGGACATTTGCCCATAATAAATGTTATTTCACCTTTTCCTACTCGTTTGTGCGAATCGACGGATCGTTGGAAGCGAGCAACACGCGGTGAAGCGTGTTCACTGATTGAAGTCTTACTCAGTAAGTGCGTGTATTCGGACGGGCAATTCCCGTTATCTGATGTACCAGCGATGTTGAATAGTCTGGTGATGCAGCTGTTTGACCACATCAGGGCTTTGCACAAACCAATCTCGACGATATATCCGTGCATAGTCATTTAGTACACTCATGTGAATGGCATTAAACAACCGAGAGCTGTACTCGAGTGTATGTGATTCTATAAGCTATTTGCCAAAATCCGTCTGTGGATTTCTTCTATGTAAATCAGCGTCCTACGGACAATTTCCGCAAAAAAGATCAATGCAGATTGACCAGTATTTCTGTTTGATAAAACTTGACAGCGTGTGTTGGCCTGACCAACCACTTATACACGCACAAGGCTTACTATGCCCGTATGAACGCACCTTCGGCAATCGGCCCTAAAAGAATCAAAGATTCCGCAATTCGGAGAAACATGTGGCCTACAAGGCTATAAAAGAAAGCCTCATGCGTGCCATTTATCTAATTCTATCGCGACTTCTCTGTGTTGTCTATTGGGACTCTTACCCTAAAAAAATCTGCATTTCCCCCCAAAAGATGCCAATGAACAAGCGGCAAAAAGGATTACCTTGTCTAAGACAAGAAGCTACTTAACAGATATATGCGCTCGTCAAATTTAAGATGCATCTACTTGGATCATAACGCTTTGCAATCCAAAGGGATCATAGACGGTCAGACGAAGCGCCTGAGTTGAGTCGTGAAGGATGTCACCCAAAACCTTGCGCGGATATGCTGTGTCGCAGGAGCGAATTTCGCCCACACATCGGGTTTATTTTGAATACAGCAGTACATGCTGCCACCGTTTATACACCAGATATGTTAATGGTTTGGTAAGACCCAAGATGTCTTTGCCTTCGCCACGAAGTGGTCACATTCTTTTGATGCGAGGTCGTCGATCAAATACCAAGCCGATTAAATTCGTGCTAAAACCAGGTATTCTATCTCAATGATGTTACGCCTCATGCGCAGGGTCGGCAGCGCTATGGCTGTGAGGCAGAAAATATACAAAACGAAACACGTCGATGTCAGATCAATGTCAGAGCATGGTGTAACATGCTACATGGGAACGTTAGCGGTCGTAGAAAGAAGGAGGTTAATGAGGACTCTTAAAATTTCAAAAAAATGCGAATTAATCCCGGCCTCACAAAGCTGGTATCACATTTCCGCTCCAAATTATCAGGCTGTTGTGACGAGCTCTACTGCAAAGTTAGCGGCGTCTCTTCTATTCCTTGTAGCCCATCAACAAACTGCTTCAGAGAATTGGCGTATTTATGAACAGCTGGGAGTATCTTCAGACAGCCATGGTTTGAAAGCAAAATCATGATCTAAATCATCTTATTACTAGACGCACGATGAGAATTTCGGAGGCCATCGGCGTGAAGACGCAAGCAAGAGAATCCATGAGAGCTAGTCGCAGGAGGGTTGACCTTACCGACAGTGCTCGAGGCGAACTTCGTGAACTGAATTCGGATAAAACGTTTGATGGACCAGTGAGCACACTGGGAATAACATTATTTGGTGCGGTGGAACGAAAACTTTCAATCGACCAAGCTAGAAGATTTATCCGGGTCGCACTTTTGTTTAAGACCTTGGACACCCTCGGCCCTTTTTACACCCTTATAAATAGACTGGATTGTCCATCGCAGCGTGTAGTCCTCAAGATATGGCGACTAACGTGCGCGGAATGAGTCCGAAACTCATCAGTACTCTCGTCAACTTTAAGCTCCCATATCTCATTTTTGCTGCTACTCTCAACGCATGTGGACCTCGTGGGAATTGGTGGTTTTCCGGTTGAAAAAGATTTTTGCAGCATTTTCTCCGTGCTCAGTGTTCTTTAAGTGTGGCATGAAGCCCGGCACACATAGGCGTGTATATAGTATGCGCCAGCGCTGCGAGTAATTCCAAACAGTTATAGGCTGTAATACCGGTGAGATTGTACGGGCAAATCTTGGGTTGACTGTTGAGTTTGAATTTAAAAACTGGCTTCCATGAGCCAGATATCAAATGGTTATCAAAGGGTTTGGGTTAGTCATAAGTTCCAAGGAGGGCGCAACGGTTCCGACTGATAAGAAAGGACACGGATAACTAGACTCGTGCAACTAATAGGCCGGAGTAGTGAATGTTTTCTTTCAAAGGATAGTCTAGCCGTGTGAGGGGGAGTGTGTTTAATAAGAAATTGGACATCGCTCTTACCGAAGAACACAATCGCATCCTCGTGTAGTAGGCAGGACCCATTAAACATGTTGTATGGACCACATACTTCGTATGTCTGACATTAACTGTACTCTCTGTATAGCTGTATATCCCCTTTCAGTTCTGTCGTATCAGAACTGGAAGAATTTACCAGGTTAGAAAGGATAATAGTCTATTGGCTATGATAATAAATGTCATCTCACCTTTCCTACTCCTTAGGTAAGTCAACGACCCGCTGAAAGCTACCGACACGCGGTGGGCCGTGTCAGTTGACCTAAGACTTCCTCAGAATCTATGTGTGCACGGACGGGCAATTTCCATTACACCGCGCCAAAAAGAATATCTATGCGTGTCGATCACGAGGACTATATTTCTTCGTAGGCTCTATGAATCGTTTCTTCCAGTACCTGAAAAGATAACCATAGTTCAAGTGCGCTCTGGGGAGACGCGGTAAGTGCCCGTAGAGCGGTCACGTTTGCGCAATGTCTCAAAAAGACAAAAGTAGTGTGAGCTTAGTTTATTCAATTCCCTAGCGAGGGAGGTGTAATGTGGCAAGTTGTGTTATCTTGTGCAATTACATCCTACATATTTGGAACAATGGTACCAAATAAAATACAGGATCATGGGCGGCTAGCTGCACGTCAAAAATCAGCTCCATTATGAAAGATGGTAAAAAAGCGAGGGTATGATGCTGCGAATGGAATTTCTGGAGTTAATCGCAACCATTTTGCTTGATCTCCGTGAGCTGAGCTTGGAAAGGAGAAGCTTCGTAAACCGCGATCTCAAAATAACTCAAGAATAAGCGAGCGTATGTTACGATTGTGATAAAAGTCTTTGTACGTATACATTAAGCATCAGTCTTTGCATCTTGAGTTTTAAACATATGTACTTTTGGATTGTTAAACTAACTACACACTTGAGGCTTTGGTTGGAGCTTACGAGCACACCTTTTGTCTATAGCTAAAACATCTCCTGTGCAAAAACCACTGCAACTCCATTGCAACCACGATGACGGATGAAGTTATCGTGTAGTGTACACCACAATCAAGCCCTTTCAGTGTTCATATCATCATCCTGAATTTTTCATGTGGTGCACTCCTTGAGTTTTGAAGGTCTTGTAAAATGTGTCATTTAAATCAAAGGCTTTTATTAAGAGCTTGCGTTTTTTATATGCAAGAAACCAATGTCAGGAATAAAATCTACCTATGGCGTCCACGGCAAAGCAAATTCCACTTTGCTCATACAGATTAGTTCGCCAAACTTGTCTCGGCTGCGATAGCGGCTCACGCGTGCTGTGATATGTTGACAGTCTACATAGTAAAATTTAATTATGCTTACTTGTGACTTAAACGATATCTAATTATAATTTACTTTTGATCACATGTGCAACTTGCAGTAAGCTTTGTCATCAATCAGTACTGAATTTTGCTACTTTATTGAAGCTTTCGTTGATAAACTTTGCAGATAACAACCACCATGTCGTATGGTTATCAGAACAGTGGCAGTATAAGCAAGGCTTTGGTTAAATTGACCTGAAACATCTGCTATATTATTTTTCGCCAGTATAATTTTTAGGTAAGGGTAGGTGAATTGTTTTGTACGATGTCGCAACTGATAAACTTGCGATTCACGACAAAACGACTCAATATGATGTTTGGTAGGTATTTGCATCTACTGAACATAAGTTAGCCGCACTTCCGTCTGATTGTATCGCGCTTTCTTTCCGTCGCGGATGAGTTATATCACCACAAACATGCTTATGTCTTAGGAACGAACGCTTATCCTGCTGCTCCTTCGATATCTAAGCGCTTCTTCCTCACAGTAAAATTCTCGATATAGTTTTTGGTAAAAACACTAAATATTGTCTTACTTATCACAGAATGCCAACTTTTACTGTTCAGCAGATGTGTGGCTAACGTGTATACTGTAGGATTTTCATATCATGTGGTAAACTTGGTGGTAAATCTTATTTTTCTTGAATTAAATTTTTGCACCACAAAATGCTTTCATTTAATGCGTAATTTCACAGCTACCAGTTATAATGTTATCACTTGAAACGTCTGGACATTCAGCATTTTTTGAATCTCCAATTAGATCAACACCTCATCTCAAACACGACGGCCGGTCATCGTGACTTTTACATCATTCGTTCAGCGCTTGGGACGAATAAAGAAAAGTATTCACAACCCCACGCTCTATAAAGGCAGAAGAAATCAGATGGTAAGCGAAACCCCAAACGTTACATAATGTCGATCCTTCAAATTTCTAGCTAGTGGCACCTCCGGTCTGCATATTTGGTGGCCTGTCCACTTTTTTGAGATGGTTCAGTGTCTCATTTTGCTGTTTACAATGTGGCGTCTCTTTGGTTTACACTGTGTGCTAAATGCGCTCATCACTGATGTTACTAGTGCCGTGATGGATTTAGAACAAGTTGATGACAGCTCTGGTAATGTGTCAGGCTCAATTGGTACTACTACAGACACCTCGTCGTCCACTCCATCTAGTGATTCGAATGATGATTGGCATATGAAACCTGTTGTTTCAATACAGGCCCGTGTACAAGGTGATGCACCTGTTTGGAACAAAAAGGCTCAGATGTGGGTCTCAAAGTTTGGAGATACGACCGAGGCTGCCTACATGAACAATTTAGACTCAGTTAACACTGCTTCTGTAGAGGGAGCACTTATGTTCGTACAGGCGGAAGGGATTAATGTGAAAGAACAGTCAGTCAAGTGTGAACGTAAGAACAAAATGCAGTACATCGTCTTCTATGAGCTGACGATAGTACAGCCGACGTACGGAATCAAATACTATGAAAGCCATACAACCCCAGAGTACGGTGAATTTGTAGCTATGGATGGCGGCAAATGCACAGATGAAGGATCCGATTTGTCCAAAAACTGTAAGGTTTATTACGGTCTGGACGGAGAATTGAACATTGGTCCAATGGTAGGTAGCAATTTGCAGGCATCAGAGCCGCGTGCTCCATACCCAGGTAATTATTGGTTTTCGTACCCCGGTTCGTGCGCGCAGAAGTTACGTGCCGAAAAGACGACAAAATGTCGAGCAAAGTATTCAGGTGGACTCTGTGCAATTGGAGACCAACCTGACGGCGAAAAGTGCACATTTAGCTACAAGATTCTTGGCTATCTAAACATTGACGACCTGGTAGGTATCACCAAGATGGGTTACAGAAGCTACACCGAGTTTTGCGAGGACGGTGGTATCGAATTTAAAGCCACAAACAACGGCAGTGGTTTTGAGGTGGAAGAATCGATTGATTTCTGGAAAAACCCTTGCGACGAGGAAGCAAACGCGGCGCGAACAGCTAAAATGGTTAAAATGTACAATAAGATGGTTAATGGTGGCACTGTCGACAACATGTTACCTCTTCCATCTATTGACTCGCTCACGTCCGCTAATCCGAAGTGTGAAGAGAATAGTGCTCAGTGTGCTAACGCTCCGAACGGGTGTACCCGTATTCTATACTCCCAGGTATGTTCGGTGTGTTCGCCGAGCGATAATTGTGACATCTCTTCCCAAACAAGTTTTTCATTCCCTGACTTGAAACTTCCCACTGACAAGTCAAAGAAAAAATCATCACGCGACGTGAAAGGTGATGGAACCATGAGCAAAAATATGAACTTTGAGAGGGCAACAGCGCTCTCAAGAGACAACAACCACAACGAAAGCGAGAGCATGGCCGGCATCCATTCTGCTCGTTATTCCGATAATTATATTGGCGAGTTTTCTGAAAGTCATACCGATAACAAGCCTGGCTATAGGACTGAAACTGAGCTTCGCAGTAGTAGCGCCTCGATTATTAAGAATTCTATTGTCGGAGCCTTTATAGTGCTTGTGGCAAGCTGCCTATTGTAAAGTCAGAGTGCGTGCTATCAACGGTGTGACGAGCACTTTCGTGTTGTAGATGACAAAAGAAGATGAATAAGTATTTGGATAAGGTTGTATTGAGTATATCTGTTGACTCAAAGGGAGACAAAACAAACGGTGTCATCTTAATGCATTCTGGTATAACGTAATAATATACGAAGAAATTTAGCTTGTGATGAAATTTAGTCTGGAATACGGAATACATTATGAATGGCTTCATCAACAAAGCAAAATTGTTAGATTGGCGACGCATTTCGTCAAAGGTAAAGGTTTCGTATCCAATACTCTCCTGATAGAGAGCCATGAAACACTTTAGGTGTGAAACAAGACAGACGTGAGTCTTTTACATTGATAACATTTCGGATGCTCGCGTAAGTAGAAAAGCTGATATTTTTTGGTGCGATCCAGCTCAGGGTTCCTTAGAGCCGTGAAACTACACAGCATGTGTGTGCTTATTTATCTGAAATGGAAATAGTCACATATAAATGTTGAAATTGGGTCGACATGACTGGTTTTCGTGAGCCAAAGTCTACAAAAAGTGTTCAGTCTAATCTGCATCTGATCTAAGAAAGTGTGAATTACCATTCTCTGGGAGTTATTAACTCCATGTCCAGCCAAAGTTGATATGTAGCGTCCAGTTACATTTTTTATCATTTTCTCGCCCACGCGGGCTTGATGGATGGCTACTCTTCTAAATTTTACTGAACTACTCCCGCATGCTGCTCTTAAGATGGCGAGAATTTTTAAAGTAGAGGTTTTTTAAAAGCCCGGGGGCTACATGGCAGCAAAGCAGGCCGAACGAGTATCGGCGCTCGATCGTTATGTACGAAAGCTTTTACGCCAGGGTCAATAGTTTCACGTTTAAAATGGCGCAAACTAGGACAATAACAAATGCACAATTTTATGAAGGACGAAATTATATCCGTGTATGTAATGTATAATGGTATTCCGTCGGATGCTTATAAATTACCGAAATACCGGTACTGATAAGTATGAAGGAGCTGGCCAAGCGAAATTATTAAAGTGGTAAAACAGATATATGTAAGTTTACGACAAAGTATCGACAATGTATTGAAAGGGTACTTGGGCGGTTGTCACAATTCAAAATGGATTTATTTAGTCCTTGGCTAGTTAATCTATTGTTACCTTTAAGCCAGCTGGACATACCTTAATGTTCTTAGCGGATCTTCACAATCCACTGCGCTGGATTCCTGAAAAACTTACCAATCAGTGAGTGCTTCGTCATTGCGCACTATCCAAGTCGTATCTATAATAGGTGCAATATGCGGAAGTAACACACATAAGACTATTATATATCTGTAAGTACTGGTATCTACCGGTACGCGTCTGCTGGTCGAGACGCTCCCTTGAAAGAAAAATGCACACTTATTTCTATGCAGAGCCGATAATGACTGTGTTGTGGTACCTCTCCTGTTTGCAGACATTATGACAGTAGGAAAGAGGCTTTAAGTTGTGCTAGTGCTTAATGGGCAAATTGTAGGAATTAAGCTGGAGGTTGAGGCTGATCATAGCTTCTCTTGATCCAACAGCTCTCAATTTGCATAAAATTGACGAACAAGTCAAGCTTTTGTATTCAATTATCAAAATCGACCGCTATCAGAATTGTCGCTGAACAGCTGGAAGAATCACCTAGCTCAAACCGAGGATCGAGTGTAGCAATTGGTATGGGGAAGGATTTCCGGCATCACTCTTTATTAATGAATGCTGAGGTGTTAATTTTCGATGCTCACACGATCAGATGTACCTTGAGCTCCAGAAATCTCATTTTTCCAAGCTTTTTGAATGCTAAAACCTTGATTTAGGATTTGAGTGAGAGTGTTCGCGAGGGCTGCTAAAAAAGGCAACAATACCGATGAAAGTGTTGATACAGATATATCGGTGAAGGGAGTAGCATTGTGAACAGACGAAGCAATCAAAAAATTAATACAAGTACGATGCGAGTTGCATCCCTTTGTAAAAATGATGTCTGCTTTAACTTATGCTAAAGTATTTGTCATTATAGCGGCAATGAGAGCTGTCAGCTCTTAGATATACTCCGACCACCATTAATAGTGAAACAGTATTTATAATTTCGAGATACGATCACAAGCGATATACATCGCTTCAAACACCTCCCATCGTCGAGAATTCCTCTTGTGACAAGGTAATTCCTCGTTTTCGTGCGCGGTATCCAAGTGCAATAAGCCGATGCTCGATCAGAGCCATGGATAGAATTATAAAATTTCTTCTCTCCTATCTTGGACGATTGCCCCTCCTGCCTTCAAAAACTGGATGTTCAGAATAAATGCATTGAAGAAGGAGTCGGTTTTACTTCAATTGTTTTCTTATAGCTGCATAACGTTTCCAGTCGCATAATTCATTCATTCGAGCCTTGGACCACTTAAGAGTCGCATCTCCTCGAGGCCAGCTAAAGAAATCAAGTAAAAACCAGTCTACTTGTCCTGAAAAGAATATTCGAACAACCTCATCCTGACACAGGTTTCAGGACTCGGTCGGCGACGCGATGAGACTTCTTTAATTGTGAAGTGTTCTCGTCTCCGAAAACTGATGACAAACAACACGCATGGTATGGCGATACGATCACACACTATCTCTGTCGCTTTAGAAAAGTCAATTTTGATAATGCCTCTACTGAAGTACGGCGTATGGACACCTATTTTCTTAAGATGCCTCCGAGAATAGAGACCGCTATCGCGCCGCGCTGATGCATTGTCTGAGGTTTGGCCAACTTGATGACCATCTCAGCCCCCTTGCTTAGAGAGATAAAGAACTTCGTCGATACCCTCGGAGGCTAAGTGGTTAAGGCCGGTCGAAGTTTCACCACTGCCAAATTGACGTATTCATGGCTGTTCATTACCAGCGCGTTCTTGTGCCGGTGGCGAAAAGCTTACCGCATTTAGCTCTTGCGTCGCTAGTCGACTCACCGACTCGAGTTCAATTATACACATCAGCTCACTAAGCGAGTGTAGCTTACGGGGGCTGAATTCAAAACCCGCCTCTTGACAGTGAATAATGTCTAATATGACTCTGTCGTCGGATTGACGACGATTGCTATCACGTAGGTTGCCGAATATCTGCACACAAGAAGCTTTGACTCAACTAGCCTTCTTACACAAACGCACGTAGGATGGGTATATACTTTAAACCCAAGAAGCTAAGCCAAGCGTCTATAAATAAGTCAGTTTGTTCTTCTCCTCCTAGAACCATGTCTTTCTCCAATAAATTAACGTACAAAAAGATGCACCCTGTCACGTCGGTTGAGCCTTCAATTTGCATTAAGAATATGTCAACTTTTACGTTAATGTTGAATTAGCTACTGCTTGCTGTTAGTATGAAAAATGTCAGCGTTGTTATGCATGAAGCCCCTTACTTGTGCGTCATATCCATTTTATTTTACGTGCACAAAAATCAGCAACATCCTCGCTGCAAGACATCAATTTGATATTCTATGCAATGTGACCAAGTCGCGCTGCATTGGGCGCTTCTTCATTCCACGCCGTAACTGAAGCTGCAAAGGGGATTTCTAAGCTTGCTATGACTTTGAATCAAATTATGGGAGCTCGTTCATCCACCTAATTTCTTGAATTCAACACAGAGCGACAAACCCATGATCCTTGTCGAGGAAACAGTAGGATGACGTAGACACTTACTTCTGTGCAAAACACGAAGCGATTTGGTGAGGGAGTCAAATCTCAAATACGCAATGTCACCATCCTGACATTAGATAGCTAGAAGTTAGTGAGTCACGAAAGCGCATTCCTCCCCAATTAGAGCTAGTCCAGCTTAAACATTACCCTAAATGTATATGCAGCAAAGAAGGAGAGTAAACTCGTTTTTCTTGGCAGAGACGTGGGAACGGTGTTGCTGTGCGTAATGACGCATGATCTGTAAGGATCACGGGCGACGTACACCCTAGCAGGTGTACACTGAGTCAAACAAGATCAGACATCATTAAAAGTAGCTCCCAGTTATGAATTGGGTAGCTCCTCCCCTTCAAACATAATAGTTATTGCGCGTTCACGACAGCTGTCATTTGCTTGATGTAAAACAATTTTATGCAAAGTAATCAGCGTCAGACAAAATTGCCGTTCCGACATAAAAAGACCAAAATTATTATAGCACAGAATCCATATTCTTTTATTGCCCTGATGGCTGCCTCATCCGTTGATCCCACCCACAAGTTTTAATGATATATAACTTTAATCTGATCAAATATGACAAGTGGGATGGATCTCTCTACACTCGTCGTAATTTTAAAAAAGGGTAAAAAGGATTCATATATCCCTTGAGCACCGGTGTCCCATTTCTCAGCCTTCAGTGATCTACAAGTATTCTTTACGTCAGATTCATCCGTGATAAATATCAAGCTCAGCCCCTCCTTTGGTGACGGCTGCATCATGCATCATTACGGTGGCATCACCTATTTAAAAGTTTTAGCAAACATAATCCCTCATTTTAATGTGAGCTTCCACGGAATGTGGTCACGAGAGACTTACAACCCCTAAAACTACCCTAGTATCTCCATTCGTGAGCGAAAAAAACTCTTTGGTACAATTTAGTGGGTATTCATAAGCTCGCCGATGGATGCATTGAATGTTAGTCTTGACTAAGCACAGCAAATTTTCTGTATACTTAGTGCAACAAAGACAGCAGCTTTAACCGCCTTCTGAATAGGTTTTAGTGCAGTTGTGGTAATAAAAGTGACTTGATTTTGACCACAGTCCGCTAATTGTCGATTAAAAATCTGATCGCATACTGTATCCTGGGGCTGAAGGTGCAAAAACCCGCGACATCATCTGCAAATTTCTATTCGACTTCGCCACAAAGTATTGCACCTGAGTACGCATGCCACCACGTGAAGAGTCCGCTTGCGTCGTCGATGAGATTGGGCTGACTTTCGAAAGCCGAAGTCACTACTACATTTCGCAAAAGCAGAATCATTAGTTCCGTGCGACCGAATTCATGACCGATAATTTTTTTACATCCATTGAGATTTTACCTGACGCTATCCCTAGGAAAATGCAAAAGGCTAATCTTCTGATGACGCCTGGATATAGCGCTTTTTAAGTTGTCGCTTCATCGTATTTATAAGTGCTTCTATGCGAATAAGTGCCCTTGGCTGGTTGCTTGCCTTATCCATCCCGGAGCAACGATCATAATGATCTTGTTGAGTGTGGCAATTGGCCCCGGGGACAGAAAATTGGACATCACGTATTCTATCCTCAGAGAGTGCACGGTGTATCAAGACTCGAAGTCAGGCTGACTACCAGTACTACTAAGTGCAGCGGTCTTGCCGTGCAACTAGCAGGAAGATGGTTTTGACTCAATAAGTCTGCATTGACGATGCACAGAGGTTGGGTTTGCTAGCCCCACTCAAAAGTAGGACCGAATGTCTCTAAACAAACCAAGGTCTTGGTTTGCTCTTTGATTTCAAGGGTGTGTTTCCTTAGATCTAAATCTAATTTGATCAACATGGAACATATATGTGAATTTGTTAGAAAAAACTGATTTTGATGCATTGTGTACCGTGAGGCCAGCAGTCCACGTGTCCCACGGACCTCTCCGTTACGGTGTAGCATCATACCACTTCGGAGAATTGTATTGTGACGTAGACCACAAAAAGGTCGGTACCACGCAACGAGTGCCGCCATTCCTTTTGTGAAGCAGTTAAGGATGATTTCTCGGTGCAATGATTATAAGTAGAAATTAGACTGAGACGTTTGTCTGGTGCCGAAATAAGATGACCCTAACGTAAGCATTGGCTTCGTGGAGGCAAGTATAACGGATTGCGTTTATTTTTTTATGATGTGCGTACATGATACTATTGCTCATTTGGCGTTAGCGAAGATATCTTCAAGTGTTGTATTGGGACGCCTTTGATCATCAAGGCCCTGTATTATTCGTACGTAAACATAGTACAAAATTATTCTCACGTCTAACAATATCGATACTTTTACTTTTTAATATGGTTACAGAATCATATTTACTATAAGTTTGAATAAGATTAATTTTAAAAAATATAAAATACTTCATTTCTAAACTTTAATAATACTCTAGTTTTGTGTGTGAGAGGGTATTGCTCGAAGATTTCGTATTGGAGTATTACTTTTATCTAAGCTTAGTAGTGGAGTATATTTCTTAATATTCCCTTAATTTTAAGACCAAGTACTTATCTTTTATACAAAATAGCTCCTGAGTGGCTCATTATCTATGCATTGTTTTATTTTTGGGTATCTTCTCTGCAAGGTGGCAAACAAGCTCGTAGATTGTATGATCAAATAAATGAGTAATTCAGACGTTGGGTACTAATTTTTATCGAGAGGCGCTAATAGTAGACCTACAGACCCTTAAATTAAGAGAAAACATTAATGACATAAACGATTTCTGCTCTGTGAAAAGGCATCAGTAGCTCTATCTTCGTGATATGCACCACTAAATTTGCTGTATGCAAAGTGTTTACCCCGCTGTGCTTGACTCCGCGTCTGATCTCTCGTCAAATTTCAACACACTGTCGAGAAAAAGACTAGTCAACATAACCATAAAATTTGGTTGCGGTGGAATTCCATCTGTGCAAGCTCGAGCATGTTTGACTATAGATGCCGCCAATCGAAAATATAGGCGCTGTCATTAATCTTCACTCTATACGGTCTTCGTTGATGCATAATTATTTTTGAATATCACAAGGCTTTGAAACGCAACAGCTTCTTGACCTTCATGGGTCGGCTCGCACATTTTTAGGTTATTAGTACTCATCAGATTTACAGAAGCCACTCAAAACCAAGAAAATGGTCACGGAAGAGTTAAAGAGGTTTGCAGTCCATCACCTGGTGGATCTTTTTATATACAGTTACATACCTCTTATGAATGTGTGTCCTTACTCATGATGCTTTTCACTCTGTTTGTTTATATAGTAGTCTGTTGTTAGGGCTGCACTATCCATTTGTGGTGTCAGTATGCCTCTAGTTCTTTGTATTAGTTTCTGAAAAAAAACGATGAAAAGATTATTTGTGCATTTACTTTAACTAGAAAGTTTCTTTAAAAACTTCAGACTCATTATTTGGGAGCTTCTGGCAAACACTGGCTGTAGTTTTTATCATACTGATAGCAAATTGTGTCTTTGGGGCATGAAGCTTCCCAACGGCTGCCAATATCCTGACCGGCGCATTGGTCAAACAGATTAGCTTGCTTTTTCATACAAGTTCCGGACCAGTTGTTATCCCCGACGCACTGCAGACCCGAAGCGCAGCTCTTGGTACCATCTTCAAACCTACAGCGGCCATAAAGTTCCGCACTCTCACGCTTATCCACGGCCTGGTTCATCTTGATTTTCTCAACGTCACTCTTATTTCGACATCTACTATAAGCGGTCGATAATTGCCAGCATGTGGTGTCACTGCCGCTGCAGGTACGGCTCCAAGATCCACTGGCCCCATTGCCGCCACATTGATCATTGAGGCCCGGCTCCGTCTTCAGACACAAGCCCATGTTTCGAGCCTTTCTCTGGCAAAACATGCCCGTATCACACCTCACCGCCTTATTTATCCATTCACACTGCTCGTTTAGCGCGGCCCTCTTCATCATTATGTTCACGCGCAGATGAACCGAGGCATCCGCTGCAATACCAGAGGCAGCGGCCAGAAGGCTGGCGATGAACGCATAGAACTTCATGATAGTTGAAATCGATAATAATGCAGAAATGAAGGACGAGGCCAATTGCAAAATGATTCGTTCTGAGGGCACGAACGCAGTTGAGCAGCTGAGTGCTGGTTGATTCGGATACTGACGTGAGGATACAGAATTTTTAATACCCTCGAAAATGTATCTAGGCTTCAAGATTATGGGATTGTATCAAAGAGTATTGTAACTTAAAAGGGACAAATATGATAATTTTGGCAAATTAATATGCGTAGTTTATCGGAAATACAAAAAATCAGTAAAGTTTTCTGCATTCTTATAAATTGTATTTTTTCCGCGTGGTGTCATGGACTAGAAGTGCTAACGTAGTACTTTCACCACTATGACTTACTGTTGCGATGGTTTAAGGAATGATAGAGTATGTACAGATTCGAATTTTGTAAGAATAAGTGGTATTAGACATTTGTTATAACATTTAGTGGGCTTCAAGACATTTGGTTCAAGTTTTATGAGCAAATCGCTAGTTGAATTTTGGCTTGAAGATGGATTTACAATGTAAATTATCAAATTCATAAAATAAAATATAAACACCACTGTCAACAGTCAAGTGTTAAAACTCTATTGCTATCATTCGAAAAGCACAACGTTCCGTAGGTGATACTGACGGATATATAGCCTGTGTCGAACTGTTTCTACCATCTACTGCGGATGCTATTGGTGCCAAACAGCAAAAACGTTCCGTAACCTTGGGAGGTGGTCAATCTTCGAAAGGAATCTGCAAAGCGTATTATAAGTACAAATGAATACTTATCGCCAAGGCTAAAATCGAGGTTTTGTACTCAGCTGTAGTCTTCCATTTGCGATACGTACAGCAGCTTTTAGAGCTGAATTGTATTGTTTGCTAGCTGTGCAACAGATAGCAAGCGCGGCTTCTGACATGTAAATTTGTGTTTCTACCAGTCGATATTTGGTTTCACTAGTATCTCACATACAGATTGAAGTTCAATAGTGGTAATCTATTTGTCGAACTTCCTGATACAAATTCTTCCTGCTAGAATTGGTATAACTGATTTCCTTGTTATGATGATCCGCTCACGAAATCGTTTTCCCAGTTTTATTTAAACGTGGAAGCATAATGCAACAATCAATTTATTAGAATGTTGCTCTAAAACAAAATGCCTTTCACGACTTCCTATTTCACCCTTTGATCGCGTGACGACAAGGTCTCACGCCGTTGACCCGATTGGCTGCAATGTCATCGTATAGTTCTCCTGTGTCGCAACCCACTGCCAAACGACAGAATTGTTATTGTCACACTACCACTCGTTAAATTGATGGCTGGATGCCAGGACGAGATGAATATTCAAAGAGCATAAGCGATATCATGCATTGCACGCACATTTTTCATAAAAAGCGCCACCGAATTAAATGACCGTGGTCATGCTTGGAATGCTGCTGATGTGTGGTGTGCAGAAGAAGGATCAGCATAGCCAATAAAGTCGTATCAGCATCTAAAGCAGTGATCACATCCTTTATAAGAATCACAGGTTAGGCATGTCCGAGAACAATATTGCTGTAGCGAGTCAGTAAAAAGTGATATTAGTTCGACACAAATGAGTCTAAAGCTATGTTGATAGGTGTAGATGAGTCCTAAAGTATCATAATTTATAACAATAATAAAGATACAAGAATGGGATTATTAATGAGCCGGGTGTAGTCGACAAGAGTCTTATGTCTAGGTTCAATCAGGATTATAGAAGGAGATATCATTTTCTGATGGAAACTGTCTGATTATAGTGCCTTCGCGCTTTACAACCGCGTATGAGTGGTAAAAAATGAAATATGTGTTGTCAAAACTGTGAATTTTAAAGGAGATTGGTCGGAGCTGAGAATTAGAGCGAGCACATCTTCGACGACCTGCATCACTTCACGACTTATCAATAAATCTCACGCATCTTGTGACTCATTAGTGTCGTTGCTTCGTAACATCGCTGTGTAAAGGGCGTTTAGAGTTTGCATATGAGATAAGTGGATTAAAACTTTACAAATGACTACTGAAGAGCTGTAAAAATTAGTGGTTGGTGAAAGTTTACAAATATATTTTATATATATATTATATCTAAAATATCTTTAATTTTTTACTATCCACTGTCGGATTGAATATGAAATATCCAGGCTATATTTCTAAGGATCACACCATTGTCGTACGTAAATGGGCACTTTTTTATTACAGCAGCCAAAAGAGATAATTTTATCCGAGGAGCAGCGGCTTTTCCTATTTCATGACATTAGCTTCTATCGTTATCGGTTTGTGGCCCAAAAGCAGTCATTTCGGGGTGGACCCACCATTGAAATTCTAGATCAGGAGAGAAACACTTTGGTTATCCTTTAGTACATTGTGCAACTTAAAAAAAAGTTTGAGTTGAGCCAGAACGATTATCATTTGGAAATAACCATAAATAAATTAAGTCTTCTGAGTGTGTACGAGTGTCCCTCCATTTGAGTGTCTCATAGTGACGCCAGCAGTGGTCATCTTCTTTTAAAGATGTGGTGATAGTGGTATTGAATGCCAAATTCAATACAGGTCGGCACGACTTGTTTGGAGTGCGTACCCTCAGTATCGTCGAGCGGGCCTGAGTCAATGGACCTCAGCTCTGCTGAGAGAGAGGACCAAGCTGCTGAGCAGCGTTTGAACATCCGATGGTGTTTTGTCTGTGAAGACATCCGTCACCTTCGGACTGGTTGTCCCCTGCGCAAGGCGCTCAAATGTTCATCAAGCCGACGTCCCGCTTCTCACCAGCCTGGTATGTCGCGAGGAAACGAGAAAGCACAGTAGGTGCGGGGTGCTCTACTGAGAGAGAACTGATTTTTGTTGAGCCTCTAAGAGGTAGAGAGCAGCAGGACCCAGCTCCGAGATTGCTTGTTGTGGAAGCGGCTGTGAAATGTTTTGATAAGCCATGGAAGATCCTTATCAATTCCAGAGCGTCTAGCAATTATGCACGACCCTCCACGATCGAAGGAAGTAAGTTGTATGCTGAGGCACTGGAAGCGCGGTTGAGTGACACCATCACTGTTCGCTTAGCGACGGGGACTTATGTCGATGAGCCGAGGGTCTCTGTGGACCTCAATGTCAAGTTTCTTGACTTCGATATCGTGGAATGCAGCTAAGTCGTAAACTCGGATTCAAGGTATGATCATATCCTTGGTATGGCATCGTTGGAACACCATTAGCCATGGATTGATTGGAAATCAAAGAACTTGGGCGCTATGCGCACGTCTCCTTGTGGAGTTTATCTTCTCTTCTCTGGTGAGTCATGAACTCACCTCAGCTAGAAAGCAGAATCGCTATTGGCGCGGGCACTTTACCGGGGCGGTCAAAGTGCTGGATATCGGAGTATCCGAGTTATCGAACACCGAAGGTATATCGGATGAAAGTTTCCAGCATAGCTCGCGGGCTGGCACTTAACCCACTGATCACTGCTCACGTTTCGAAGCAGTCGCTGCATACCAAGAGAAGCCTGGTCGGACGAGGCCCAAGGCATCGAGGGCGAAGCTTTAATGATGCGCGGGGAGTAGAACGTAATCCACTGAGCACTGCTCACGTTTCGAAGCCGTTGGGCATGCCAAGTGCGTCATGCTCGGACGAGGTCCAAGGCATTTTTGGCAAGGCCCTTGGGATGTGCGTGCAGTGGCACATTTTTTGCTGAACGAAGACTGCGGAAATAGCAGCTCTTCGTCGAATGTTGTTAACAACATCAAGGCCTCGATGCAGCAAGGAGTGGAGACGCTGGATCACGCCGAGTGCCTGATCTCACTGGTCTCAATAAGAGTTAAAAAAAATTATAAAGAGGAGACGGCGATTCCGTATGTTATCTGCAAGACGCAGGGCGTCGACCGGCCCACGGTGTGTCTACCGTAGATGATAGCGCACAACTATACACCCTTGTCATCGGTATGATGGGAAAGGAAGACTGCGCCGTCACCCTCAAGGCTATATCCGGATGGAATTTCTTCTTGAGCTGAATGAGATGTCCTTCGAAGGGTTTGGCGGTGTCTTGAAGGCAGGCAATTTAGCCGAAGTGGTCATTATACAACCGAACGAGAAGATTAACTCGTCGTTGCTTCTGGATGAAGTTAACCTGAAGGACACCGCGAGGGTGCTGGGCGCGCGAAGTTGATTGCCGATCTCTAAGAATCCCTAGGATCTGTACTTTCCTTTGGTAAAAATTTTCAAGACGTCGTTTCCGAAGACCCGCCGTCGGTCCTACCACCGGACCAAGGGGTGCGTCATGAGTTCAAGGTTGTCCCGGGATCCAAATACAGCGTACCACACCAATGGCTCCTGCCAAAAGAGCAGTGTGACGTCGTTGACGCCTTTCTCCGTAGGAAGCACGATGCAAATGGTGCGTGAGAGCAAGTCTCCCCATTCGACACCCACGTTTTGTGTCCGGACGCCAAACGGCAAGTGACGTATCGGTCACGCTTACAATAAGCTCAACGCTGCCTTCAGTCCGACACAGACGCCGATTCCGAGAAAGGATGCTCTTCAGAAATACATGGTTGATTGTACAAAGTACAGTGCACTTGGCTTAGTCGATGTGCAGCGGGCTGCCGTAGTTTTGCGCTTTGAGGAATCGTAAGTCAGGTCACCGACCTTTCGCTCTATACTTAAACCAAGTACGAGTTTAGCGGAACGCAATCCGCTTACACCAAGAGTAACCATTGCCTCAATCCCAGACTAATTAACTCTTCCGTTTAAATTCAAAGCTGACTTTATTAACTTTTAGCTGCGGCAAAGCCACCTAATTTTGTATGTATAGATTTTCCAAAATATATATAGTAAAATATAAATACATGCATAACTACTGGCTACCCAGCCACGTACCGTATTCTTATTTGGGTGCAGTCAAACCATGCTCATCTCGTGTGACACACACATCTGTTACCAGGGTACGTGTAACCCCGTTACAAGTTGGGTACATAAGCACATCTTTGGCGCGGAAAAAATCTCGTGTTAGGGTGCTTTATTGGTC